CTCATTTTTAGGCTATAAAAGGCTTAGTCTCAGTTTCGTAGTTAGGAATTAGCTCTCTTTTCAAAAGTATGGTATTTATTTCTATTTTCTCAGTAAGACATATACTTCCATTTTTAGAGTAAAGCATTTGTTTTTTCTCTTTCTGTGTTTGATAGAAAATAAAATTTCTGTTATATACATTAATAAGATGAAATAAGTAGAATAGACTGTCATAGCTTTAATAAATGTATTTTTATATTATAAGACTTTGTGTTGAAGTAAATAGAGTTAGACAGAAGGAAATTCAATCTTGCTGTAGAAGAAAACTGCTTAGAATATTCATCTTTTTTTTTAGTTTTACCCCAATTTTTAAAATCGTAAAAATTTACTCCGAAATTGACTTTTGAGCAAGTTTCTTATTTTATCATTTAAATGCGTACATATAATTAAATCTTAAAAATGATTTGTTATTTTCGATAAAATATCAATATGTATACGTAATTCTTGTGATTGATCACAATACTGTAGAAGTTTCAAAAAAAAATAGATTTCATTCTTAAGGTATAAATGCTTAATAGATGATATGGATAGAAACTCATAAAATTGATTGTATTTTATATCTTGTATAATATGTCGGATAACAAGCGTTTCTAATTGTGAATAATGCTGATTGAATGTTGGTGGTATTGACTTTTCAATCTTAAAATTACTATTTTAACGTTAAGTGCAGTTAATGCAAAATGAAGCAAAATTAACTCAGTTTTTAACGTAAAATAAGAAACAAATAATTTGAACGTTCCGGTCAAAAACGCAAGTCGCAAAATCTAACCTTTTTGCACATCATCGTGATGATGTATTCACAGTTAGAAACGCTTGTTATCCGACATATTATACAAGATATAAAATACAATCAATTTTGTGAGTTTATATCCATATCATCTATTAACATTAACATTCAGTCGATCCTTTCGATTACGTTTATTTTATTTTATTTGTACAACAAAAGAGGGCAAATAAATTATTCGGTTACTCAGGTAAACAAAAGACGGCTAAAAAGTAGAGTCTGTTTTTGGCCTCGGACGAGTGATCAAGGCCAAAAAAGGTGTGGGCAAAGTGCCACTTTTGGACAGGATGACGACGTCCGGCCAGACGGGTGAGGACGCCTGTCCGGACTACTATTGTGACTATACACCTGTCGCGTTTTAATTATTTTGAATCAACATTATCGGATGACCGTCTCGACGCACATCTTAAACTACATGTCCGATAGCGAAATACGACGCCCTGTCTGCGAGCATGGCTGAGCTCCTCAAAGTGCTACTTTGCGCACATTGTTGTGTTTTGGACCTCTTTGACCACCCATCCGGACGGTCATCTTGATAGTGTCCGATTATGTTACTAGTTCCACATTTTTCCAGTCACTGTTTTGTTGTCTACGATTGATTCCACTATTTTTTACTCGGACTTTTCTTCGAGAACATAGTACAATCAAATTTTAACGCGTTCGTCGAGCAGATAATGCTTTTGTCATGTTATAACCTCTATCTGAAAAGGAAAAATCAGTATGAGTAAATTCAGAGGAACCATATTGATAGGTTTCTCTCATGTATTATTCAATTATGGTTTGCCATATAACTGGCATTTGACCCCAGAATAAAAGTGAGAGCGGTTAAATGTTTTACAATTTACAAATGTTCACCTGTGAGTTTTACCGTAAGGTAACGTCTGCCATATGTGAAGAAAACGTTTACGCTTGGACTTTCAGTGAATGTATATCCGAAGATATTATTGCTAGGATCAGTTCATTATTAGAATCTAATATTTTGCGAATGAGGCAGAATGTCTGAGCCCCAATCATCCGTGCGTCTGACAGAACCGAACTGGTCATCGCTACATCCTGAGAGTCACTAACAGCAAAGCGATATTACACCGAGGATACTCATGATTGTTATAACATGAACATTTCATGCATTTCTCACTTCTGTGCAGTTTTATTCTGAGATCTTTACACAGCAAACATTAACTAAGTCTATACACTGAGGAAGTCCCTATATTTGGTGTGTTTCATGAGAAAGAAAAACCATTTTTGATACCCAACTTTTTGATGCAACTAAATGCAGAAAAACTGCAACTGTTTCTTCGTATGAAGAAAAATGTTGGAAAAGGATAGATTGCCCTACGTGCTTATCCACATGATATAAACGTACATAATATATATATACTCTCGGGAAAATGTGAAACTAGTGCGTACCGGTGCAACAAGGTATCCCGAGCGCACTGGTAGTGTCACCCGTTTTTCAGTACTGTACTGCGCTTTTTTTGTAGGAGAGTCGATCATGGTTTACATAAGAATCTTACACTTTCTTCCTTTACAGATTTTTTTGAATTAAGTGACTGGTCCAAATCCTGCATCAGACCTAGCGTCTTCTCGTAATTTTAGCTTTTAATTGTCTATAGACATTTAAAACATAGCACTTTATAAACGTAACCATGCAACTAAGATGAAAATGAATGTTGTGCACATTGAAGTAAAGAAAATAAGAATTGCTCATATATCAATGTTTGACCATTTTCATTTTGAAACACTTGCTAGATGGTATTATGAGAAGCCTTGGATTTACATTACTTCACCATAATGGAATAGTATCGATCGGACAGTTCGTTCTCCATTCGACCAAACATAAAGAAGAAAGGTCAAACAGAACAGAAAAAATCGTATTTTTAGAAGTTTGGCGGTGAAGTACACGATAAATATAGTGATGGATATCATGGAAACCTAACTGAAACGTCATCGATCCAATAGCCGCGTGTACTCCGACCGTTGTACCAAAGATGTGCAGAGCGCCCTTACCTTTACAGAAAGGACAAGTTCTCGATTAACTTTTAATAAAAAAAGCTTTTAATATGTTTTCGAGTTATTCTGCTGCATTTTTAAAATTTCATTAGAAATTTCAGTTATAGATGTGAAGTGTTCATTCTAGTTCTAGAGTAGTTCGATAGAGAACATTTCATTTCATAGGGAGAAAACTCCAAATAATTATCGCATGAAGTTTTGACGTAGAAATTTTAACCTTTACCTTTCTGGTCGGATTCCAGAACCAAAAATATTCTGAAGAAAGCCTTACGGCTACTTTCGCTCGAACCAAGACTTTTGGATCAGAACTCTAAGTACAACATACACTAATAGAGTATACTGAAGAAATACTAGCCCCGGCCTCCACAAATCCGTAGGTCAACAGCGGTCATCGTTTATATTATCCAGTTATTTTCTCGTTAACCACCCTACTTTATATATCATTCGAGAGAGAACTTTACGGACTACTAAATGATATCAAGATATTCAAAACAAATTGGACCTGAGGGTCCTAACATTAGAAATACTACTGGAGAGGGATGTATTGGGCGTCGACGAATAGGCTAAATCCATATAAAGTTCCAATGAGAAGTCTTCAACACTTTCCGTTTGAAAGTTCTTCGAAAGAAACTCCCTTACATACTTGAAAAAAAAGGCATTGTAGTTGTTGCTATGAATGTTGGTGTTCAACATGTTTCTGAATGATCGACTAATTAGAAATTCTCTAAATGTCGATAATTGAATTGCTGTTTACAAAACAGACACCGGTGCATCATAACTGATTCTTCTTGCGTATGCTAACTGTATTTGTACTAATATTCTTCCTGCAAGCTGATAAATAATCAAATTTGTGGTATTATAACAAATTTATAGTTACTGTTTAATCACTGCATTCTATTCGCTTACAGTATCAATTTGTTTATTTTATTGAAATTTAATCCGTATTGAACTATTTGGGCTGCATAAAAAAAATCAAGTATTCGCTACGTAACGCTCTTGTAACGTTAGTAGAGCAACTGTTATGCATTGTAATAATAACACTAATATTAACTGACGATCGTCTTCCTATTCGCATTACCCTTGTTGTCGCTGTCATCTTGCAACGAACCTTCTGAATATCTATAAATTTCCTTATTTCAAAGATGGAATTTACCGACTCTTCCGCGAATTTTTGAAAATAGATAGTAAGAAACTAAAGTTTCAAGTTCTCTTTATCTTTGAAGAACTTACCAGACACAGCCGTATTACGGTGAGCATACTCATTTTTAAAATTTTAATATCAGTTCACCTTGAAGTAATCTAACCAGTTTCATACTACGTTATGCAAATATCTTTTGTATAAAAGTACTTTTCGAACTAAGTCTTCTCATCATCTACCACAGACTGGTAAATAACTTTGCAAGTGTGTCTGTCTTGAAAAGATACTTAAATTCGTATTATGAAAAATTCGTGGAAACGTCGGTTGCGGAAGAGCCGTGTCATGCAAAGACGGTTAGGAATAATGATAGTGTAAAACTGTATATGGTAAAAAGTAGAAAATCGTATAATACACGATACGGACAGTTTTGAATATTTCATTTTTGAATGGTATGAGAAGATGAACGAACATAAGACGATATATGAGAATGGCAGCAACAATCGATTTGTATGTCTTACATCTATTACTGAGTTATTCAAAGTTCGCATTTCATACAACTGCTACAAAAGCGATCTAAACTAGCTAGAACAAGAAACTAGGTCGAAAGGGAAAATGATGAATGTAAAATAAACAATCCAATTCGGCTGGGTATTAACTATGGATTCACTATCTTGATTCCAAAACCATCCGTAGTAAGCCGACTGATTAAACTAAATGTTAAAAAAATAGTTGTTTGTAGCTCCATCCTCCATTTATATGACCTAAACTATTATTTTATTTCAATATTGTAGAGCTTTCGAGTCAAATCAATGCATTCTCAACAGCAAAAATACATTGTCATTCCAATATAAGATGCACATATAGCACAATTCAAGTGAAATTTTATTTCGAACTTTTTACATACCATTCGATAGAGAATTGAACGCTGATCACGGCAAACACTTTCATTCTCCTTTCTTTTACAGTGACTTACAGACGTATGTAACTGTCTATACTAAACGTACAGCCACGTTGTTTTTCTGTGCTTTAATGTATCGTACATCATCGGATCGTAAGAATATTCTTATCAATCAAAAGAAAAAGATGCAAAATCAAAATTCATCACCATCCAGTTCAGCTGATTTAGATTCTAAACTTACCAGTATCATAACAAATATTTTGAACAATCCGATATTTATAAAATCTATAGTTGACCAAGTTAAAGAGCATCTAACACAAATTCAAGAAACAGTTGCAAAGCATACAGATGAAATAACTGAATTACAATTGAAATCCAATGACATGGAGCAATATGATCGAAGACTAAATATACTTGTACATGGAATACCTGAGAAAGATGGTGAAATAACAAATGATTTATTTATTGATATGTGCGATTCCATTCAAGTCAATATTAAACAAACAGATATTAGCA